CGGGTAGGTCGCGGGCGGGTCGCGAACGGGTCGCGAACGGGTCGCGGGGTGGGTCGCTGGTGGGTCGCGGGGTGGGTCACGGGTGGGTCGCGGGCAGGGTCGCGGGGGGGACGACGACAACAAACAACAACAACAACAACAACAACAACAACAACAACAACAACAACAACAACAACAACAACAACAACAACAATTACTAGCACGTGGGGACACTCCGTTCTCACCAGTGCCAGGGTTTTCATAGGAGGCGGGCAATACCCCCACTTTGTGGGGGGGCCGGTTCAAGCTCTACCAAATTTCCAAACGACTCTTCGCCACCACCCACACCCAGCTTCCCGCCCTATGACGTTCGGACACTTCACTTCGTGGCATGCGGACGACCGTGGCTACTATTCAGGGCCCCGCGGCCGACGACGACGGCGTGCGCGCGCGAAGAAAAAACGAATGTGTCCCGCATGGTATTATTTGACAGGGATGATGGCCCTGGCAGGTGCGCAACCGTTGTCGCAGAAGTTCGAAAAAGTTGCTCGCAAAAGCCCGTTTGACAGAAATGTTTAAAAAATGTTGGGTTTCCTACGAATCCGCAAGAGCGCGCGGGATGAGATTTTGACATTTTTTGTTGAAAAACCATTGGTTTTTTGATGTTTTTATGTTAAAATCGCTGCGAACACTAAGGTTTTGGAAGGATTTCGTCTTGCGCGCGCGAATGTCCACTTTACCTTATTTTTTGCAAGGGATTCTTGAAATTTGATTATATTAGAACAAGAAATGTCATTTTCTATTGTTTTTTGCAAGGGAAAGCGGATTACAACAAAACAACCGGATCCTGTACACACCCTCTTTTCTGAGGCTTCCTCACGAAAATGATGAAAATGTAGCTGCGGCCTAGGCGGCGCAGGGGGGGCGCGCACCAGGGGGCCCAACAATAATTATTCTTTAGAATAAATAATGTTCAACAACAACAACAACAGAAATAGCCACGCAACAAGCAGAATCCTCACCACGGATCCGCACTTCAGCCACGCACCCAGGGACAATGAATGACCGCTTGGCCCCCTCACTCTGATTTGTTCAGATTTTTCGGCGGCACCCGCCGCGCAACAACGACGACGACGGCTGCGTCGACGACGACGTCGTCGTCGCCGACGTCGTCCTCGCCGTCGTCGTCGTCGTCCTCGTCGTATCGTGCTCGTCGTCCTCGTCGTTTTTCTCGTTGTCGTCGTCCTCGTCGTCGTCGTCGACGTCGTCCTCGTCGTCGTCCTCGTTGCCGTCGTCGCCCTCGTCGTCGTCGTCCTCCGATGCTGTCCACGTCATCGCGCTCGTCGTCGTCGTCGTTGATGTCCTCGCCGTCGTCGTCGACGTCGTCCTCGTCGTCGTCGTTGTCGTCCGCGTCGTTGTCGTCCTGGTCGTCTTCGTCGTCGTCATCGTCGTCGTCGTCGACATCCTCGTCCTTGCCGTCGTCGTCGTCCTCGTCGCCGTCGTCCTCGTCAACGTCCTTCTCGTCGCCGACGTCGCCGACGTCGTCGCCCTCGTCGTCCTCGTCGTCGTCGTCGTCGACATCGTCGTCATCATCGCCGTCGTCGTCGACGTCGTCGCCCTCGTCGTCGTCGCCCTCGTCGTCGTCGTTGTCCTCGTCATCGTTATCATCATCATTCTCGTCGTCGTCGTCGACCTCGTCGTCGTCGTCGTCCCCGTCGTCGACCTCGTCGTCGTCGTCGTCATCGTCGTCCTCGTCGTCGTCCTCGTCATCGTCGTCGACCGCGTCGTCGTCCTCGTCGTCGTCGACGTCGTGCCGATCGTCGTCGTCGTCGTCCTCGTCGCCGTCGTCCTCGTCAACGTCCTTCTCGTCGCCGACGTCGCCGACGTCGTCGCCCTCGTCGTCCTCGTCGTCGTCGTCGTCGACATCGTCGTCATCATCGCCGTCGTCGTCGACGTCGTCGCCCTCGTCGTCGTCGCCCTCGTCGTCGTCGTTGTCCTCGTCATCGTTATCATCATCATTCTCGTCGTCGTCGTCGACCTCGTCGTCGTCGTCGTCCCCGTCGTCGACCTCGTCGTCGTCGTCGTCATCGTCGTCCTCGTCGTCGTCCTCGTCATCGTCGTCGACCGCGTCGTCGTCCTCGTCGTCGTCGACGTCGTGCCGATCGTCGTCGTCGTCGTCCTCGTCGTCGTCGCCGTCCTCGTCGACGTCCTCGTCGTCGTCCTCGGCTTCGTCGACCTCGCTGTCGTCGTCTTCGTCGTCGCGCTCGTCGTCGGAATCACCGTGGTCGTTCTCGTCGTCCATGTCGTCGACGTCGTCGTGATCCTCGTCGTCGTCGTCCTCGTTGTCGTCGTCCACGTCGTCGTCATCGGCATCGTCGTCCTCGCCGTCGTCGACGTCGTCGCCCACGACGTCGCCATAGCGATCGCCGTCGTCGTCGACATCGTTGTCCTCGTCGACCTCGTCGCCAGCGTCATCGCTGTCGGCCGCGTCGTCGTCATCTTCGCCCTCGCCGTCGTCGTCATCGTCCTCGTTGTCGTCGTCGAGCAGGGCCTCCTCGTCGTCCGCCCCTGCTCTGTCGAGTGCTCCTAGGAGGGCGTCTTCCTCGAGGTCCCCCTCCTCTCGCTCCTCCTCGTGGAGGTCGTGCCAGTCCCTCCGGGCGCCCCGCGCGCCGCCGAGCTCGGCGCCCAGGTCCGGCGGGGGCTCCGGCGGAACGGCGGCCGCCAGCGTGCGCGGCGGCCATCGCCGCCAGCAGCGGCTCCGGCGCCCCCTCCCAGGCTCTGCCCCCTCTCCAGCCTGTCCAGGAGCTCGCGCGTCGCCCACCCAGTTCCGGGAGGTCCGCGTCGGCCCCCGCCGGGGCGGCCGCCCGGGCCGCCGCCGCCTACTGCGCTGCCTCTTCCGCGCGGGCTGCGGCTTCGGCTTCGGCAACCCTCTCCCGGGCGCCCTCGAGGCGGCGCTGCGCGGCCTCCAGCGCTTCTTCCGCCGCGCGCGCCGCCGCCGCCGCCCGCTCCGCCGCCGCCCGCAGGTTGCCCAGGCGGTTGTCGTCGCGGCGCTCCGCCTGGCGCTGCCAGGCGGCGCGCTCCTCCGCCAGGAGCGGCTGCAAGGCCTCTGCAGGGACCCCGGCTCGCCGCGTCGCGGCGGTCGCCTGGCGGAAGGCTTCGGTTTGGGCCCCTGGCCGGGGGCCGCGGCCGCCGGGCAGGGCCAGACAAGCGGCGCGGCGGCGCCGCCGCCGCCCTATGGCGCCCGGGGCGGCGGGGGGCAGGCCGCTGGCGCTCCGGCGCGGGCCGCGGAGCACCCCCGGCAGGCCTGCCGGTTGTCGAAGTTCGCGGTGCCGCAGCCGCAGCGCCACTCTGGGCGGCGAGCCGGCGGCGGCTGCCGGTCCGCGCGCCCCAAGTGCCGAGAAGGCTGCGCAAGAGGTCCGCCGCCAGCTCCGGGTGGGCCTGGCGGCCGCGTCGCCCGCGGGGCGGGACGACCTGCCATGCCATGGCACCGAGGGGGGAGAGCAGGCGATCGATTCAGGCCTCCCCCGGAACGCTGTCGGCGAGGAAGCTGCGTGCCGAGAGGGTGAGGGAAAGAGAGTGCGAGAGCAGGGAGGGCTCCGGCCGGGCTGCCGAGATCGGACAAGCCTCGACCCTCGGCGCTCGGGCCTCGTCCTCGTCCTCCTCCTCGTCGCCCTCGCCGTTGTCGTCGTCCTCGTCGACCTCGTCGTCGTCCTCGTCGATGTCGTCGTCGACATCGTCGTCCTCGTCGTCGTCGTCGACGTCGTCGTCGTCGTCGTCGTCATCGTCGTCGTCCTCGTCCTCGTCCTCGTCGTCGTCCTCGTCGTTCTCGTTGTCGTCCTCGTCGTCGTCGTCCTCGTCGACGTCGTCGTCCTCGTCGTCGTCTTCGTCGTCCTCGTTGTCGTCCTTGTCGTCGCCCACCTCGTTGTCGTCCTCGTCGTCGTCCTCGTCGTCGTCCTCGTCTCGTCGTTCTCGTCCTCGTCCTCGTCCTCGTCGTCGTCGTCGTCGACGTCGTCGTCCTCGTCGTTGTCCTCGTCGACATCGTCCTCGTGCTGGTCCTCGTCGTTGCCGCCGACGTCGTCGTCCTGTAGTCGTCCTCGTCGTCCTCGTCCTCGTCCTCGTCGTATTTGTCCTCGTCGACGTCGTCGTCCTCGTCGTCCTCCTCGTCGTCCTCGTCGTCGTCCTCGTCGTCGTCCTCGTCGACCTCGTCGTCTCTGTCAACGTCGTCGTCGACGTCGCCGTCCTCGTCGACGTCGTCGATCTCGTCGTCGTCGACGTCGTCGTCCTCGTCGTTGTCCTCGTCCTCGTCCTCGTCGTCGTCCTCGTCGTCCTCGTTGTCGTCCTTGTCGTCGTCGTCCTCGTCGACGTCGTCGTCCTCGTCGTCGTCGTCCTCGTCGACGTCGTCGTCCTCGTCATCGTCGTCGTCCTCGTCGTCGTCCTCGTCGTCGTCCTCGTCTCGTCGTCCTCGTCCTAAACCTCGTCGTCGTCGTCGACTTCGTCGTCCTCGTCGTCGTCCTCGTCGTCCTCGTCGTTGTCCTCGTCGACCTCGCCCTCGTGCTCGTCGTCGTCGTCGACGTCGTCGTCCTGTAGTCGTCCTCGTCGTCCTCGTCGTCGTCCTCGTCGTCGTCGTCCTCGTCGACGTCCTCGTCCTCGTCGTCCTCCTCGTCGTCCTCGTCGTCGTCGTCGTCCTCGTCATCGTCCTCGTCGTCGTCCTCGTCGTCCTTGTTGTCGTCCTCGTCGTCGTCGTCTTCGTCCTCGTCGTCGTCCTCGTCGTCGTCGTCCTCGTCGACGTCGTCGTTCTCGTCGTCGTCGTCGTCGTCGCCCTCGTCGTCGTCCTCGTCGTCGTCCTCGTCGTCGTCCTCGTCTCGTCGTCCTCGCCCTAAACCTCGTCGTCGTCGTCGACGTCGTCGTCCTCGTCGTCGTCCTCGTCGTCCTCGTCGTGGTCCTCGTCGTCCTCGTCCTCGTCCTCGTCGTCCTCGTCGTCGTCCTCGTCGGCGGAGTTCGCCGGCGGCGGGGGGCCCCGCCGGCAGATTTCGCCAGCGGCGGGGGCTGCGCCTGCCCGCCGGCGCCCACCAGGGGGTCTTAGGCCTCCCTCGGGTTTGGGCCACACGGGGGCCGCAGGAGCAGGACGAGGAGGAGGCCCAGGAAGAGAGAAGGCGAGGAGGAGGTCCCAGCGAGGGGGTCCAGGGAGAGAGAAGGCGAAGAGGGGGGCCAGGGAGAAGGAGGAGGAGGAGGAGGAGGGACTGGAGGAGGAAGAGGGGGAGGAAGAGGGGGAGGAAGAGGGGAAGGCAACGACGACGACGAGGACGAGGAGGAGGAGGAGGGGGAAGAGCAGCACGAGGACTAGGACGAGGAGGGGGACGACGATGACGATGATGATTGTGGTGACGACGATAATGGCGACGGCGGTGATGATGACGATGACGATGACGATGGCGATGATGATGGCGGCGACGACGAAAGGTAATGCAAGAAGAAGTGAACACGCTCAGGGCACGGGTCAACAGCAGCGGCAAAAAGCCGAACGTGCTAAGAATGTCCTTGCACGAGGGGTTGTGGATGCAGACTACTTGTCGCATACATCGCCTCCCTGGAAGACCCACGGGTCTGGTGCACGCTGTTCTCCAAACAAAACTTGCCCCTAGGGGTTATGAATGAACTTACCTGAAAATGTGGATGGGTGTACCGCCAACTGTCGTCCGAGCGCACCTCGTGGGCGCCTCGCGGCCGCTTCGTGCGCTAGATAAATGCGCCGATGTTTCGCCACGTTGCCGCCCGTGGGCGCCTCGTGGGCGCTTCGTCAGCGCACGCCATCCACTTCGCAGAGCGTACAACACGCAAGCACTCCTTATATATTTGTCACCACGTAGTTTGCACCACATCGCTCACACCACATAGCACAGACCACTCAGTTTACAAGATACAGGTTACACCATACAGCTAACACCGTGTAGCTTACAAAACGTAGCTTACACTACATGGCGTACACTGCGTCGCTTACATAACGAGTTCACACAGCATGTATTGCACAACAGAAGTACAACATAACTGACACACTGCGTGGGGCCCTCGCTTGCAGACATACAGTAAGAACGATCCAGCAAGAGATTATGATGATGTCAGCGCGCGGGCGAAAAACACTTGAGTGCTGCAGCTATGTGCGCGAAGCCTTTGGGATCCAAAAGGAGGACCCGTCATATGAGACCAGGCAGCCACAGGAGGCCGAGCAGCCATGGGAGACCTAGCAGCAATAGGAGGCAAAAGCCACAGGAGGCCACGCCGTAGGACGCCAAGCAACCACCCGGAGCACGCGCAGTGGATCGGGCCAGCAGGGCAAGGTGCACCAGACAGAGCCAGCGGGGCAAGAAGCCACGGAGATCCACAGGAGGCCAAGCCATGGAAGGCCAGTCTTTTGCCTGAATATTCATAATCCCTGCAATATGTCCCGTTGATGTCTCATGATCAGTAGGCTTCGCCGATGGCATGGGGAGGAAGGAGAATGCCGTCATGCTAGCAATAGGATAACCCTGAAGGGAGGAGGCCGGCCCACCGGCCAACGCACGCGCGCACGCCGCAGGCTCGCTCCTTTTCTGTTTCCCTAGGGCCAAACAGTGATAAAGCAACATACAAGTCGCAAGCAGTGCGAAGTGAGACAAGCAGCGCAAAGCGAGAGGGCAAGATGGGCAGCAGGATGGCGGCGCGGAATGGGCGCATTGACTCCCCCCGCGGCGGGGCGTGAAGAGTCGCCCCGATCCCCCACCCACCTGGCCTGCACATATGCACAGCCACAAGAGCGAACCCAAAAAAACAAGATTACCGCTCGACTGTGGTTGCCAGGGGGCAGAAGACCGAAACAACCAGACAAACCCCGCCTGAGCTAATATCTAATGTCAGCTCAGACCACAAGGCTCATGCACACCTGGTGCACCCGCATCTCGTTGAACGTCGGACCAGTATCGACGAAGTCGTACAGGTCAATCTTGTACATATTTACCTCTGCCAATCATCTCTTCAGCTTCGAGAATCATCCCATTCGTTACTGGTGCGCCAGTTCCACTGGCACTGGCTCCGTTGACGATCATCGTATCTGTCTCCTGCTTGAATTCCAACTGTCTGACTCGTCCTTGCCCCCCCTTGCCTGCCGCCCTCGCCTTCGGCGTAGGTGGCGGCGGCGCCCCTGGCAAGGTACGATCGCGATTGAATCTGTCGTTGTAATCATTCCCACTGAAACAATGCCAGGGTTTGGCGCTCTGCGCGACGCGCTGATGGCGACCATCGCCGTTCTTGTCCGCGCGGCCCTGCGTCGGGCCCCAACCGCCATCGCTCGCGCGGACGCCTACATCGGCAATGGGTTCATCAGCCCACGCACGGACCCGATCTGCATCGACCCAGCCGGCATCGCTGCACGACGCGGCTGAGCCGGCGGGCACAGGACTATGAGGGGCAGGCCTGCAGGCTTGCCTCTCCGTCCAGTTCGCCCTCGGTCTCGATGGCACTCGAAGATTCCGCTGGACTCTCAACCTCGAGCCGGCAGAGCCGCTCGGGGCTTTGGCTTCCGCCGTTGGAGCCGCGGAGTCTGCAGCAGGCTGCGGAGCCGCCGTTGGGGGGGTCAGCTGAGCTGCTCTCCGTCGTTGGTTTATGTAGACACTTTGCAAGACCAATAGCATTGTCGGCGCTGAAGAAACCGCAACACTTGATAGACACACGAATCCTGACATTGACAGGAATGTGGGTAAACTTTTGTATGAAATCGATAGCACTCTGAATACTTGTACAATTTCGTACGACAGTGCCCGAAATTTCATTTCCTAAGCCATTGGCCCATTCATGAACTCGGTCGTACGCTTCAATCGCGGACCTGATCCGGCAGTCCAAAGCATATGCATCACACAGTGCTTCACGGGCGATGTCCGTATCAGTCAAGGTTCGTTGTACTTCATATCCTGGAAATGCAACATAAAGTCCATGCGCCATGAACAAATCTACATAACTTCTTGCACCGTCAACAAGACTTGCCCCCATCGTCCATGAGTGGGGATTCTGTTGATAGGTTAAGCCCATGTTCTGTTTACAAGTGCAAACAATTCGTGCGGCACTTCGTGAATCACGACGGTATCCAATGGCGCCGAAGCCGCCGATGAAATCAAAGATTCAAGAATGAATTGTACCGCAAATTTAACAATTTCCGTCCAGTCGCATTTATCTACACTACGATTCGCATGGGACATACAACTCGATATGGAGACGAAATCAAGCCAGAAAGGCAACGCTTTTCTCGGAGTGTTCATCTTGTGACGCTGTGCCATGTTGACATCCACGACGCCCCTCGATGTCCCCCCGCCTTCTTCACGGGATGCGATCACTTCATCAGGACGGCTGGGCCGTTGACGAAGTCCAGCAATCACCCGAAATTGATGTCTCCTACTGCATTCGACGTACAAGCGTCGCTAGCTCGTCTCAAGTTTTCAGTTCGCACTTGAATCGATGGGATGGTACACCTATCATCGCCTGGCGTTCTCCCCATCGGTCCCAACCCTCTGCTGGGCTTAGTTGGGCCGCATCAACATGGGACCAATCGAACATGGCAAGAGCAGAGCATCGAAATGGGCGAACATATTGATCCACGCCTGGCGCCCATATCAATGGCCACCATTGCGCGGCGGTCGGATGTTCTTCATTGGTCTTTCGAGCCAGGTGCTTCAACCAACTCATGAACCGAAGCTTCAACGGCTCAAGGTGCTCAAAATATGGTTCATGTGGCGCCGGCTGCAGAGCCGTGGCGCTGTCGGGGCCCCAGGTTGGGACAGTCCCCGGCTGTCCGTTTGAGAACGTTTTTCCGGCGCCGCGAGCCTGAGACGGACCCCGCCATCGTTAACAACCCATTTCCGCTGGTGTTGTTCCGCTTTGTCCAAATTGTCTGACGCATCGGCAGAGCTCTTACTCGTTGCGCCCAGCCTTTTGGAAATTATTGTGGGGCCCCTTTCCCCACTCGGGGGGTCGCGCAAATAAGGGCACAGCCCCAAGCTCGCCCATGCATCAATGAATGCATCTCTACCAGGCGCAGCAAGATAGTCCTTTCGGACACTGTATGTATACATTGAGCTTGGCACAGGCAATGAAGGAAATAGCCAGAAACCAGCCCTCACAAAGTGGAAATTTTGACACGTGAATCTCCCATCATCGGCCCACGGCTTCTGCATGATGCGAATTAGCTCTTCCTCGGATATCCGACCGCGACCGGCAACTTTTATTTCTCCATCTGAAAAATACCAACGTTCCGATTGAATTCCGGGATAAAACCACCTCATATGCAGACCTCTCTTGTGAAAAGACAACCGTCCAACCAATATGCCGACGATGTTGTTCAGTATCCTCGATTGAGGCCAACTGCACAATGCGAGACATACCATTAAAGCGTGCTTCCTCGGTCGCCACAAGAGTGCCGTCGCGACAGATTCGATGTCGTAGACGGGTCACAACACGCCCGCTAAAGACAAGAACGCACTGCCAATTTACATTATGCGTCGTCGCAACTTCCCAAAGATGGAGTAATTCCACAAGGCCTAGTTCCGCGGGTCGGAGGTCCGGCGATAACTTTTGGCAGGCGGAGCCTCTCCATCCTTCCTCCGGCGAAGCCAGTGAGGGATGTGCTCGTTGGATTCTTCAGAGGGATCACGTCTAGCAGGTATCAACCTGAGGAGTCCGTAATCAGGTACCCTGCGCAGTCCACTAAGTTTGTTGGGATGCCGGATCATTCCCGCATCTCCCATTGACTCCTTGGTTGCCCCCATACTTGCAATGTGCAATGAATGTCCGCGGCACTGCGCCATCCCAAGCTCACGCGGAGCACGCGTGCGTTCTAGGTCATGGGCAAAGCAAGAGCGCCCCTGACATGCGCGATAAAACACCGGAATTGGTCCGCGAGCACGATCGCCTCGATCAATGGAAACTATTACGTTCACATGTCTCATCAACGACTGCGTCGCGCGAGGCACCTGGTTTAGAAACTTGCCCCAATGCGCCATCAGCGATGCGTGCTCGAGAACCATGACGTCGTCGGCCTTGATTGCAGAGATTCCAACTACATCCGGCGA